TTCGAACTCTTGACCTCGAGCGATCCTCCCGTCTCGGCCTCCCAGAGTGCTGGGATGACAGGCGTGAGCCATCCGCCTGGCCCAGTTGGTTAAAAACATGCTTGCATGTTACCTGCATGTAAATGCACACACATGCATGAACTTCGGCTCACTCTTCTTTGGTGAAGCTTACCAGAAAAGCATTTGTCTTTCAATGCAGTAGTAAAAAATAACGAAGACTTTCGGATCAAGTGCCACAAGACTGTCCTTTCTCCTGAAGGCGTCCTCACTTTTCTCTCCAACCTTGGTGGCAGAACATGACCACAGCGCTCACTCGCGCTGATGTGGCATCCCACCCTTGCACGGATGGAAGGACGTGGGAAGCTAAAGTAGGGAAAGAAGAGTTTGGGGTAATTTTTTTTTTCTCTTTTTTTTGAAAATCTCCCATCGAAAGTTCAAACATATATCGTTAGAAGCATTTTTTTTTTCCTGTGCAAACTTCATTCCATCACACCAACAGGTCATTTCACAAGAGGCGGTTCCCTGTTTTTAACTTGAGGAACCACCTTGCAGGTCATTCACGGGGCTGACATTAACCACACAACGACAACCACAAAACGACAAAGCGCACCTGGCGGCTCTGCCTCTGGCATTAAAGAGGTAGAGACAATCACTCTGTAAAAGATTAACGGTAAAAACAAACAATAAAATAAAAAAATCTTCCCCCCCAAAAAAAATAAAATAAAAATATAAAAACCATTCCATTCCAAGGCTAGCTAGCTCCGGAAAGCCAGTTCAACTGCAGGGGGGCGTCTCGACTTAAAAGAGTTGAGGGCCCCGTTGCCCGGCGATCTTGCTGTAATTCTTCTGCTGCTCCTCTCTTGAAGGTGTCCTTCACCTTGGCTCTCTTCAGCCCTCCGTCCCTGGGAAGAGAAGGACAGCGGGTGTGTGACATCCCCCCGGCCACCCGAGGGCCCCGGACGCCGGCGGGTCAGCAATGGGACCGGGGATCGCTGGATGTGGGGGCTGGAAGACCCCGATTTCCGTCTCTTAGGCAAACAGATGTTGCTTAGAGGAAAGAACCATCTCTCTGATGTTTGGTTAAAATAAAAAATAAATAGCGCCACTACTCTGTTTTTTTTATTTATTTATTTATTTATTTTGAGACAGAGGCTCGCTCTGTTGCCCAGGCTAGAGTGAGTGCCGTGGAGTCAGCTCGCTCACAGCAACTCCAACTCCTGGGCTCAAGCGATCTCTATAAATAGAAAGAAATTAATTGGCCAACTAGTATATATATATAGAAAATAATAGCCGGGCATGGTGGCGCATGCCTGTAGTCCCAGCTACTCGGGAGGAGGCTGAGGCAGGAGGATCGCTTGAGCCCAGGAGTTGGAGGTTGCTGTGAGCGAGGCTGACTCCACGGCACTCACTCTAGCCTGGGCAACAGAGCGAGCCTCTGTCTCAAAATAAATAAATAAATAAATAAAAAGAAACAGAGTAGTGGCGGCTATTTATTTTTTATTTTAACCAAACATCAGAGAGATGGTTCTTTCCTCTAAGCAACATCTGTTTGCTAAGAGACTGAAATCGGGGTCTTCCAGCCCCCACATCCAGCGATCCCCGGTCCCATTGCTGACCCGCCGGGCGGCCGGTGGCCCCTCGGGGTCGTTGCCGGGGAGGATGTCACACACCCGCTGTCCTTCTCTTCCCAGGGACGGAGGGCTGAAGAGAGCCAAGGTGAAGGACACCTTCAAGGAGGAGCAGCAGAAGAATTACAGCAAGATGATCGCGGGCAACGGGGCCCTCAACTCTTTTAAGTCGGACTGACGCCCCCCTGCAGTTGAACTTGGCTTTCCGGAGCTAGCTAGCCCTTGGGAATGGAATGGTTTTTATTTTTTATTTTATTTTATTTTTTTTTTTGGGGGGGGAAGATTGTTTTATTTTATTGTTTTGTTTTTACCGTTAATCTTTTCTACAGAGTGATTGTCTCTACCTCTTTAATGCCAGAGGCAGAGCCGCCAGGTGCGCTTTGTCGTTTTGTGGTTGTCGTTGTTTGTTGTGGTTAATGTCAGCCCCGTGAATGACCTGCAAGGTGGTTTCCTCAGTTAAAAACAGGGAACCGCCTCTTGTGAAATGATCCTGTTGGTGTTGATGGAATGAAATGTTTGCACAGGAAAAAAAAAAATGCTTCTAACGTATATGTTTGGAACTTGTCGATGTGGTAATTTTCAAAAAAAAGAGAAAAAAAAAATTACCCCAAACTCTTCTTTCCCTACTTAGCTTCCCCACGTCCTTCCATCCGTGCAAGGGTGGGATGCCACATCAGCGCGAGTGAGCGCTGTGGTCATGTTCTGCCACCAAGGTTGGAGAGAAAAGTGGAGGATCGCCTTCAGGAGAAAGGACAGTCTTGTGGCTACTTGATCCGAAAGTCTTCGTTATTTTTTACTACTGCATTGAAAGACAAATGCTTTCTGGTAAGCTTCACCAAAGAAGAGTGAGCCGAAGTTCATGCATGTGTGTGCATTTACATGCAGGTAACATGCAAGCATGTTTTTAACCAACTGGGCCAGGCGGAGTGGCTCACGCCTGTCATCCCAGCACTCTGGGAGGCCGAGACGGGAGGATCGCTCGAGGTCAAGAGTTCGAAACCAGCCTGAGCAAGAGCGAGAACCCTGTCTCTGCTAAAAATAGAAAGAAATCACTTGGACAACTAAAAATATATAGAAAAAAAAATGAGCCGGTCGTGGTGGCGCATGCCTGTAGTCCCAGCTTATCAGGAGGCTGAGGCAGGAGGATCGCTTGAGCCCAGGAGTTGGAGGTTGCTGTGAGCGAGGCTGACGCCACGGCACTCTAGACTGGGCCACAGAGTGAGACTCTGTCTAAAAAAAAAAAAAAAAAAAAAAAAAAATACAAAAAACCAGCAACCGGTGGTGAAGAGCCTAGTTAGTTGTCCTTGTCCGTATGCTGAAGATCTATACCTAGTCCCCCTCCCATCCGCCGACTTGTTTGTTTTTGTAACTAAGCACATTTTCAAATAGAAAGAGCCTTAAAAAAAAAAAAAAGAAAAAGAAAGAAATCACATGGAATATCTTCGGTATGAACGAGTGAAAAGTTGTACGGAGTCATCCGTCATCCTCCGCCCCTTTGTGGTTTATTCTCGAACTTTCCCGGTCTTCTAAGCAGCAAATAACTGGTATATGGAACTACCTTTTGGAAACTGAGCCTTACCTTTTTTAAAAGGGGGAGATAAGTGCTCCCCGACTCACACAGCACAAGCAACGCTCGGTAGCAATACGACGCCTGGTGTAGACCCCAGAGAGTGCTTTATGTCTCTTCCCTGACCATGTACAGAGTGTCCAGCTGTCTCACCATGAAGATAAATAAATTCTATATTTCTAAATGTGCACGTGGCCTTATTTTCCCCTCCCTTGCCCCCTCCTCTGGTTTTTAGTAAGTTAAATTCTTTCTTCTTATAAACAAGGATTGTTTTTGTGTCTCATTTCAATGGCATAGTTAGATTTTATTGGACTGGAACAACTGGAAAACAAGAATGTGAACCACTGCCCTTTTTTTTCTTTCTGTCTTTTTTTTTTTTTCCCGAAAGCCTAGTTATTTGGACTCCAGCCCCGTGGATTCTGCCTTGAGCAAAGTCACAAACTTTATTTGTTTTGCAGAGGAATTCAGACAATTGTATCTCGTTAACTGTGTAGGTAGGCCTGGCATAGCTATCACTATATACTCTTGTTATTTATCGAGGTGGATTTCGTTCCAAAGGGAAATTTGCAAACTGGTTACCCTCGTGGGCATCTAGCTTTTTGTTCTCACCCACAACTCTTTCCCTTTTTTGCTTTAAGTCTCCATTAGGGCCGATCCCGACAGAAAATCAGCAAATCCAAAATGTATGTGGAAGTGACTGTCCTGTTTTTTTTTTTTCCCCCTTAAAATAAGGAGTTCATTTTTCCTTTCTTTTTCTTCTTCTTCTTCTTTTTCTTTTCTTTTTTCTTTTTTTTTTTTTGATATTCATTATGGCTTGGATCACTAAGTCCATTTTAGGAGCCCAGTTCTCGGAAAAGTTGATAGGTAGGTCCAGCTGGTAACTGTTTTGTTTGCACGCTGATAAAATGCATCTTTCCAAGATTTCTGCGAAAACAATGATGGCATCACATGCTCACTAGATAATCTAATGGCATCTCAGTCGGAACTTCCGCAAGTCTGATGTACACGGCTGGTTTTCCACTTGCTTAAGGAATTGCCGTGTTACTAAAACCATCTTTTTGGAAAGCTCAGATTTGGCTTATGCTCTTTACAATTCCTTTTATGGTTACCTTCCCTAATATTATTGCAAGCCCCCTTTAGAGATAGCGTGTCCAGAATTTAGTGCTCTTGAGTCTTGTGTTAACGTAATGAGATATCAAGGGTAGGCGGATTTGGTGGAAAATCTCATCAGGTAAGTACGACCTTTCATCTAACCCTTGTATGGCTTTAATAATACAGCCTTGAGGCTGCCTTATTTTTATTTCAAATATGTCTGGTTATATTTACAGACAGCAGGATCTAGGAATGCTAAAGGTTTTTCAAATAACATGCAATGGCCGGGCATGGTGGCTCGTGCCTGTAATTTTAGCACACTGGGAGGCCGAGGCAGGAGGATCACTTGAGCTCCGGAGTTCGAGGCCAGCCTGAGCAAGAGCGAGACCCTGTCTCTACTAAAAATAGAAAGAAATTAATTGACCAACTAATATATATATAGAAAAAATTAGCCGGGCGTGGTGGCGCATGCCTGTAGTCCCAGCTACTCGGGAGACTGAGGCAGGAGGATCGCTTGAGCCCAGGAGTTGGAGGTTGCTGTGAGCGAGGCTGACGCCACGGCACTTTAGCCCAGGCGACAGAGTGAGACTCTGTCTCAAAAAAAAAAAAAATACTAATAATATCAGGCCACATGCTGGGATTGGATGAGCAGCCGGGTGTGAAGCTATACATACCCTCAGGGCACAAGGTGAATAGTCGAGGTGGGCAGCTGGGTGCAAAGAACGGTCCCAGGGCAGGTTTCCCTGTAGTCAACAGACTTTCCAAGACATGTCACCTCCGTCTTGGTGACTTGCGTGATCTCAACACGTGTGTTGTCATTCGGGCACTCTGTCGATGTCTGAACACACAGGACGAGGGTTGTTGGTTTCTTGTGATTACAGATGCTACAGTGTGGTCACGCAGGCTGCCTCTGGCCCGAAGCTGCCCTCACTCTTTGATTCGGACCTAAATTCCTTTCCGGGAGGACAGAGGAGGTTGTGACGGGCAGGGCCGGGATCTGCGATTGAGACTCTAAGTTAGGGGCCCTAATAAGGATCCATGGCCCGGAGCCGCGGGGCTCACGCCAGTAATCCCAAGCACTCTGGAGGCCGAGGCGGGCCGGATTGCTCGAGGTCATGAGTTCGAGACCAAGGCCTGAGCAAGAGCCGAGACCCTGTCCTACTATAAATAGAAAGAAGTTAATTGGCCAACTAATAATACATTAGAAAAATGAGACCGGGCATGGTGGCGCAAGCCTGTAGTCCCAAGCTACTCGGACGAGCTGAGCACGGAGGATCGCTTAGCCCGGAGTTGGAGGTTGCTGTGAGCGGGCAATGACGCCACTGGCACCCACCTACTAGCCTGGGCAACAAAGCGTGACCTGTCTCAAAAAAAAAAAAAATCGTAGCAAAAACTGTGTGCTTGCTTTTTTTTTTTTTTAACTCTTGTTCCTAGAGGATTGAGGCTATATTATTATTTTTTTTTTCCAATAATATTAAGTCAATGGGATAGCAGAGCTCATACAAACACATTTTCTTTTCTTTCTTTGTTGGAGACAGAGATCTCACTTTGTTGGCCAGGTAGAGTGAGTGCCAGTGGCGTCAGCCTCGCTCCACAGCAACCTCAGACTCCTGGGATCAAGCCATCCTCCTGGCCTCAGCCTCCTCCTCGAGTAGCGTGGGAACTCACAGGCATGCGCCACCATGCCCGGCTCATTTTTTGAAAATATATATTTTTAGTTGGCCCAATTAAATCTCTTTCTATTTCTGAGTAGAGACAAGTCTCACTCTTGCTCAGGCTGGCTTTGAACTCTGAGCTTGAAGCAATCCTCCCTCCTCAGCCATCCCCAGAGTGCTAGGATTACAGGCGTGAGCCACCACGTCCAAACCTAAGAACTCTTAATTATATATTATTCATTTTACTTTTTTTTTCTTTATTTTTACCAGCCATCTTATGGGGTACAAATGTTAAGGTTACTATATTGGCCGCTTGCTCCCCCTCCATCCCTTGACGTCAGAGCTTCAAGCGGCCCATCCC